CCTCTCCCGTTGCGGAGCACAGGCTCCGGACGCACAGGCTCAGCGGCCATGGCTCACGGGCCTAGCCGCTCCGCGGCATGTGGGATCTTCCCGGACTGGGCCACGAACCCGCGTCCCTTACATCGGCAGGCAGACTCTCAACCACTGTGCCACCAGGGAAGCCCTATCCTAAGTATTCCTTTTGTGGGAAATAATCTCTTCAATTTAGCAAAGTCAAAATTAAGATTTTAATAATATTTTTCATGAAACTAAGAGTTTGTTACAGAATATTGAGAAAATTCTTGCCTCATGGAACTTATTGGAAGACTTAGGAGAAAGGCTTATTATAATAATATAATAATTCCCATCACACAAATCCTATTAACTAAAGATCTTATTCAGTTTTCACCATTTTTATATTCATTCATGTGTGTATATAGTCCTATGCAATTTATCTCTTGCATAGATTCATGTATTCACCACCAAAATCAGATACAGAATTATTCATTCCCACAAAGAAACTCCTTCATATTACCCCTCTGTATTCACATACTCTTTTTCCTATCCTGGGGCAACCACCAACCTGTTTCTCAACTCTATATTTCTGTCATGTGGCAATTTCTATATAAACAGAATCAAATATTTTTTGATTGATGTTTATTTTTCTCTAAGCATAGTGCCCTTGGGATCCATCCTGGCTGTTGCATGTATATCAATACTTAGCTTCTTTTTATTGGTAAGTGGTACTCATTTGTATGTATGTAATAGGGTTTGTTTAATTATTCACCCATCGACAGACATTTGACTAGTTGTCAGTATTTTGCTGTTACAAATAAAGCTACTACCTATCTGAGTGTAGGTGTTGGTATGAACATAGTTTTTTATTTCTCTGGGACCACTGTTGAGTTTTAAGAGTAACTTTTATATTCTACATACAAGTCCTTTGTCTGATACGTGGTTTGCAAATATTTTCTCTCAGTTTTAACTAGCCTTTTCACCCTCTTAACAGGACTTTTGTTGCTGTACAAAAAGTTTTCAATTTTAATGCAACCTAATTTAATAATGTTTTCTTTTAAGGATCTTGCCTTCACTATCATATGTAAGAAAGCTTTGCCTAGCCTTAGGCCCAGGAGTTTTTCTTTTATGAGTTCTTCTAATAGTTTAATATTTTTATGTTTTAATCATAATTTTTTATTATAAAGAATTATCTATTTTTTAATTGTCAAACTTAATGTTTATTTTTAATTTGCCTCATGTGTCCTATAATCTATTGTTGGCTTTTTTTTTTTCTTACTCCATATGGATTAATTGCCATACTATCTTTTCTATTAGCCTCTCTGGTATTTTGGTAGTTATATCTTATTTTTCACTAACTCTAGAGATTACTCAAGAGATTATAATGTGCATCTTTAAAATATTAAATACTAATAAAAATTGTTTATTAATGTGAAAATACTTCACAGAGAGTTGAATACCGTTAAGGTATTTAGGCTCCTCCTGACTTTTCTATTACTGTGATATATTTAAATTATATACTTTAAAGTTAAAATCCACTACTATAATATCATGTGGCTAATCTTTATTTAAATTTATCCTTTTTACTGCAATTTCATTTTTCCTTCTAATACTGAGCTTACATCTGGTATCATTATCCTTCTTCCTTAAAAGCACTTTTAAAGCTTTATTCTGGTTCTGTCTTTGATGAGTTCTCTCAATTATGGTTCATCTTAAAATGTATTTATTGAACTTATTTAACTTCTATTCTTAGAGAATATTTTTGCAGAAAAAAATACAGGTTGGCAGTTATTTTTGTCCTTACTTCACAAAACTGCATTATTTTGACTTCTGACTCCCATTGTTTTTGTTGAAAAGTCTACTGTACTCCTTAAGTCTTTTCCCTGGCTTATTTAAAATTCTACTTTCGTTTGATTATCAGAAGTTGGATTATGGTGTACATAGTTATGATTGTGGTTTTATTTGTCCTGCTTTGGGTTTGTGTTATCTGAGTCTATGGTTTGATATATATTTAATTTGAAAAATTAGCATAATCTTGTCATCTTTTGATTCTCTATTATTCTCTTTGTATTCTTCTTTTGGGATTTATATTATGTTTTCATACTTTTCTTTAAAGAGTTTTCAAATATCTGCCTCAATTCTCAACCTTTTATTTTTCTTTGAACATTAAAAAATTATTTTCTAAATCTAACTGATAATTCTGTTATGTGAATCTTTAGTTCTGTTTTCAATGTCCTTCAGTTATGGTCACAATATCTTCACTCCTTGTATACCTTCATATTTCTCACTTAGTGTGGGAAAATTTATGTGAATAAATTTAAAGATCACTTGAGGCCTAGGATGATGTTATTGTCTTTCAAAGATAGTCTATCATTCTGCAGATGGACTAATGGCACTATTGTGTACAGGTCATCTCATTCCAATCCATGATTGAAATGATTTCAAACTGAGCTTCAGTATCTATGAAGACAAATCTATTTCTGCCCCATCTTCACTCCTAAGGTGTAACTCTTCTAGATCCAAGCCCAAATCCTGGAGATTTTATAGAGCCACCTCTGTCTTTGAAAGTTACCAAGCAATAATTTTTTTACTTCCATTCTCAAGCACCCTCAAAAGATTTGGTCTTTTTATCAGGCTGTTACCAAGCTTCATATCCCAGGTCAATCACTTCTCTGGAGCTCCATTTAAAACATCTTGACCTTCTAATTCTTCAGTGACTCAGTAGCTCTTTGGAGCCTGAAAAACATTTCGATCAATTTTTCTTGCTGATCTCATTAGGATGGTTTGTTTGAATAACATGAGAATAGAATTCTCCATTACATGTTATGCATATAATAGTTATTTTTTCTTTGAAAAAAATCCTTCTAGCATCATATTACCTTCAATAGTATTCACTGAGTAAAAAGTGATATTACTACTGGGAAATGTTTTTGTAATTTTACTTAGTAGATCTCCTATCTTTGGAAAATTAAGGTTGGCACTACTTTATTTTTGTCAGCAACTTCCAACAACTGTGAAATGTGCAATTTATTTTGCTTTTGACTGTCAATTGCTACTTTAGAAAATAAGTAAAGCCAACACCACCCTAATAATGACAGGACTAAAAAGAAAATTTAAGGGAGAATGAAATACATTAAGTGCAGTCTGAGTACAAGGGTCTTAATCAGTTCACAGCAATTGCAGCTGAATGTTTCAATTTATATTCTCTAAACAGCTTATTGCCTTCTTCCTTTTCAATTTAGATATATACCAATTTGAATATTCCACAGAAGCTCCAAAAATCCTAATTACATAGCTTGCCTAGTAGAAATAATGGATTTTACATTTAAAGCAACACCTAAGTTTAAAACAGAGAACTTTCTATAAGGAGATGAATGAAAATAACTTGATGTCAGAAATAAATTGGAATTTAAAAGTAGTATATATCTTCAAAGTAAAAAGAAAGTGCATCTGCTTATTTTGAATATAGAATCCCTATTAAACTTTTGGATTATGGAGTTCCCAGTCTTTGTAAATTCACCTGCTTTGCTTAGGCTGTATACCTGTAAATACATATGTTTGTATGTTTATTTTGGCTCTAGTCTTGTTTTTACTCTTTTTTGGTAGAAGAAGAGCAATTCCTGTTTCAGAAGTCTGTTTTATTAATATTTCTCTACATGGCTCTTGTTTTTCTTTAAATCTATTTTCTGATTACTTCCTAAATATAATCAAATATCTCTATTCCTTCTATCTGCACCCAAATAGACATTTTGCTTGAAAGATGAATTGTCTAAAAGTTATTTCTTATTATCCTCCAGTTCTTTCAGGTCCGGATGTATCCTTCATACTTCGGTACTCTTTTAACCCCCATGTTTCAGCATGAACAATATTTGTGATAAAATGCTGGGTCTTCTAGAACATATTATTGTAAGCTAGCAGGGTCCCCTGATTTTTTTTAGGAGATGATGGAGACAAGATTGTAGTTTAATTTTCTCTGATCCAAAAAAGTTTCATATTTGTGATAACATTTTTACTAACAATAAAGAGTGACATTTGGTCAGGTTAATTATTGTTTACAACATTTTTCATTTCTGACATATTACAATAGAACTTGCTCAAAATTGACTTGACTAGGTCAGAGGCATTGAAATAGATATTTTAAACTTTTTGTTGTAATAAAACAATCACTATCCTAATTATTCTAGAGTATTATTAACTAGATTATATTATCAGACATTCAAAAGTGGTAAACAGGGCTTCCCTGGTGGTGCAGTGGTTAAGAGTCCACCTGCCAATGCAGGGGACACGGGTTCATGCCCTGGTCCGGGGACATCCCACATGCCGCAGAGCGGCTAGGCCCGTGAGCCATGGCCGCTGAGCCTGCGTGTCCAGAGCCTGTGCTCCACAATGGGAGAGGCCACAACAGTGAGAGGACCGCGTACCAAAAAAAAAAAAGTGGTAAACATTTTTATTCCATATCTGAATAATCAGGAACATTGTATGCCATAAATTAATATAGTCTCTTCTCTCAGTAAAAATGTTGCTTTAATACTGAATTTATCAGATGTTGCACTGTTCTTATCCTCACAGAAACGTCTTTCTTGCCTCATGAGATAATAAATATCATTTAGAAAAAGTATAACTGAAGAAACCTGCATGTATAAATAGCTATTTATACATGTGTATATATACATATATATGTAATTATATATGTATGTGCATATATCATATATTTTAACCATGTAGCTACACAAAATTCTCACCAGAGATAAGAGCATAATTAATAATCAATGTGAACACCTGTATTTTTGAGCAAAATATGTACAACTTCAAGTTTCCTACCTTAGAAAAATGATAAAAATTGGCAAAGACAAAGCAAAGTAGTAATGGCAGTCGAATTTATCATTGTCATGTTTGTATTCTTTCTCTTCTCTTTGAACACCCATTGAGGAAATTATTTTCGCTTTTTTGCCTGAAATTTTCAGAATGTGACTTTAACCTGGTTTTAGCATCAAAACGAAACCAAATAATTGACAGTCACCAGATTCAGAAAACTATTAGAAAACAAGTCAATTATCTTTCTGCAATCACAAGGTCTCATTTTCAATTATTTTTCCAATTTTTATGATAGTGTCTCTGTAGATTGGATATCTCTCTCCACATACATGGTTGCCACTTTAGCTCCAGAATTCAGAAGTCAATCTTGTAAAACTACTCACTCAGACTCATTAGAATTAATCTAAAATTTCCAAAAGAGAGAAGCAAATTATTTCAATCAATTGAGTTCAAATCAATTGAGTTCAAATAAGTGTCAAGTCAATTGAGTTCAAAATGACATGGCCATAAAAAGATTAAAAGAAAGAAAGAGAAACTATTTCCGATTCCATTCAATGACAAAGACAGTTAGCACAGAAGATTCATTTGTATGGGGCTGGAGAGACATGAGAAATGCATTTATGATTGTTTGATTAAATAAAAATTCCTGTGTACTATTTATGAAGAAATCATTATGTTCAATATTTTTAGTTAAATTAACCATTTATGATTGTCCTTTTCCTTAACACTTGGCTAATTCTTCCAAGGAAGAATTCTTCTTGCTATTTGCGATAGCACTTAATTTAGTTCTTTTTCAAGAATAGATGCTCAACTGTCCATTTCACCAATTTACGTAGCAGGCTAAGTCTGTGGACATGCTTATTATGGTCCTAAGTAAATCTTAATCATATCTATAAAATGTACTGTTTAATCTAAATCACCTTCTTTTTGTAGGTATTTTTGGCTGAATACACGGGACCTCTGCTAATATATCTCCTCTTTTATTTGAGGATCCCATATATATATGACATGAAAGAGAGCTCTAGAAGATTACGTCACCCAGTGGTACAGTAAGTAATACATATACATGGAACATATAGATTAAGGAGCAGACAAACTAGTACACAGACATTATGCTAATAAATATATTTTGTAAACACAATTATAGTGGATTCAATTTTAGGGTAATATATTTTAGATAACAAGAAGTAATGTATGCATGCCAACTTTTAAGTTTATAAACAGGAACTATTACTTAATATACTTAATACTTTAAATATACCTTAAAGCAGAGGTAATTTCAGTTGATTATGATCACAATCAACAAGAGAAAAGCTTAATATTACAAAGTTGAGAGGCCATATATAGGACTCAAAATATTAATACTTCTCTAAAAACATGGGCAACATTGCATAGAAAAGAAATAATGACTGAACTAATAAAGTGGAAGAAAAAGGTTTTAAAAATTACAAAATTAAATTTTACTTTTAACCAGGACAGTTATCAAAGTAGAATATATAACTATAGTTCTTCACGTATTGTGGAAATAGTCTCCCTCTCTCTCTCTCTCTCTTCATATCAAATAACAAATTAAAGAGAAAGAGTAATCATTCAAGATGCTACATTGACATGTAGAGTTAGAAATTTGTTAAAAAAAAAAAAAAAGGAACCTGGGCAAATGACTAAACTCTAAGTGAATTAAGAAGCAAAATTCAGGTCATAAGGATGCTAGAAGACAGAGAATAATTTGATTCCTGGATTTCTCATCTCAGATTTGTCTTTCCTTCACTCTTAATTCTGTAATCCAGCCACAATTACCACCCTTGTCCTGATACCTACCATGCCCTTACACACCATCCCTCTTCATCCATTGCCTCCCTCTTCTTTATTTTTTTCAAACTTCAAAGAGAGCTCAATATTACTTAGTATTAGCCATTCTTATTCCTTCAATGAGAAATACGTTACTAAAATGTTTTTCCTTTATACAATTAATTACTTTAAAATTATATATTTACATAGTCATTTGTGTCTTTCCCTCTATAGAGTTTAATTTCTATAATGGGTGACTTTTGGTGCTCAGTCAATATTGCTGCTTAACACATTACCTGATTTATAAAAAATAATAGTAATGTTCTGTATGAATAAATACATGAACCAGTTACATGAAAATTTATTTTACATTAGGCACTTTTAGAGTATAAAAACAGAGGAACCTGATCTGGATGTGAGTTCTGAAATGGGCTTTTCTATGAAAGTTATGTTTGAACATGTTGAAGTTATGTTGAAGTTATGTTCTTTTTTTTCTGAAGGGGCGTGTCAGATTTTAACTAGTAAATCTGAGGTATCTTCATACGGAAATTATCTGTGGTACATAGCAGTTTGATGCTTTGTAGGAGCAGACAGAAAGCTAGTAGAGTAGAGGCACAGAGAAGCAAGGGGAGATTGGATCTCAGGGATCATAGGTCAGTATCTGGCAAGTTGCTCAGGGCCTTTTGGAATGTTAAAGTCTATATTTCTTTTTCTTAAGTTAAGAGAATGCCCAATTCATTTAGAAAGTCTGGGATGGAGTGTTCATAGGAGAATGTAATTGCCCTCATTTTTTAGATCAAACATATAATGTGTACCAGATATATATCACAGCATGAAAAAAGAACACTTCTTTTTCCCCAGCAGCATTCTCAAAGAAATTGACCGACAGTTGGTTATTATTCTTAAACACAAACACAGCATGTTTTATAACTTCTCAGTGATAAATGTATCTGTTCCACATTCTTCCTAAGGAGCAAATATGTGAAGTTTATATTAAATCATTCAGAGGAGATACACACAAACACACAAACTACTTTTGAAATTTGAGTGTCTAGTAGAGGTCAGATCATCCCTCATATACCACACTCCATCTAAAAAAACTCTAAAATCTATTTTTTGCCTTTCCTGAGCCCTTCTCAACTCCCGGAATCCTTCCACTGTGCCCTCTGCAATTCAAAGTCCACTGTTAGCAAAATTTCTTATATTGTCAACCTTTTATCTGAGCATTGCCTTCATATTCTTCCTCAACAGAAACCTGGTACACTGCCTCCCTTGCAGCTTTATAAAGTGTCTTCTTTCACAGCCCTCATACCTTGAAACTTACTTGATGAAACTTAAGATATTTTCAAATATTACATTTGGGAAAAGAGACCCAAGCCTATTTATAGATGTTCAATTAGTTTAGCACTGGAAAGAGAAAGAGTTGATGTTTGAAGGGAAGTCAACCATAATTAAACAGAATATTTTGGAATGAAATCAAACTTGGTGAGTGCAAAGTCCAATAATGTGCAAAGTGGTATATATCCAGATATTAAGTCGTAGCTAGCTGTTATGCTAATATCTATGCCCTAATGGTGTAATATAAATTAAATATGTGAACTAATTTAATCATAGTTTAAATTAAAATTTCTCATCCAGTGCTCTGCTACACTGCTGGGCGTAAGATAATTTTTCTGCTTTCTTACAAAATGGAAAATTCTACTACTCAAGTATTTATATAAATATTCTTCAGGGGCTTCCCTGGTGGCGCAGTGGTTGAGAGTCCACCTGCCGATGCAGGGAACGCGGGTTCGTGCCCCGGTCCGGGAAGATCCCACATGCCGCGGAGCGGCTGTTCCCGTGAGCCATGGCTGCTGAGCCTGCGTGTCCGGAGCCTGTGCTCCGCAACGGGAGAGGCCACGGCAGTGAGAGGCCTGTGTACCGCAAAAAAAAAAATAAATAACTAAAATAAAAAATAAATAAATATTCTTCAAAAGAACCAACAAGTTAAGAGAGATGCTGATTCTCTTACCAGTCCTTCGAACCCACATGTAACCTCCTATATCAGGATGTTTGTTTTTGCTTCTCTTACTGTCTAGAAAGCTGTTTCCCCAAATATCTACACTTTGTTTTCTCACTTCTTTCAGAATTTGTCTATTGTTCTTAGATATACACATCACACAGAACATGTCTCTCCCATAATAGGTGTACAATTATACTTTTATGAATTAATGAATAATGATATATTCCCTAATGATTTAGCCAGGTTGGTTTGTTTTTGTTTGATTATTTGTTTTCCCTAAAGTCATTCTTATTAATACCAGAAATCATTAATTCATTGTGTTTAATATAAACTTACAGTGTAGACTCAATGTTTAATTTTACATATTGTAAATGAAATGCTTATTTTTATGCTTAACCTTTATACATTTAAGTATATAATCTTTGATCCTTATTGATTTTCTTGAAAAACAATTATAGTTTTTGAAGTTTTACAGGTTTATTTATAATAAAATAGATGCATATTTTAATAGAAATATATTTTAAATATAAACAAGAAAACATGCTTCTATAAATCATATTTGACATTTACTTTTTAAATATTAGTTATATAAATGACAAGAAGAGGTGATATGTTAGAATAAGAACAAAATCAAAGCAACACAAAATACTGCAATATGTTAGGCAGTCAAAGACCAAACATAAAACAAACTAAACAAAACAAAAGCTGCATTGACTCCATAGGAAAGGAAATTCGAACTTTTTCAGTCTATGGTACTTGGTAAAGGACAATCAGACAATGAAAAATGTATTTTGGATATTATAAAATGTCAAATTAATTGTAAGTATGTTTTGGATACTTTTAAAGTTGTAAATTTTCTGCTTCAGCCTTAAGGCATTTTGAAATGAGCATATTTACAATTATTAAATTTATATATATATTCCTTGGGCAGATGTGAACATACAGTTAATGACTGTTATTATGAAATATCTTGAGAGTCATCAGAAGTAAATTTATAGAAACTGTTGTTACAGTACTTTTATTATTAAATAAATTTAGAAATTTTCAAGAATAAAATAAAAATATCAAAAAAACTTGTGTTTTGGTTACCAGAAACAATATTTCCTAATAAATAGAAAGTTGTAGCATACAAATGAACCTATTTACAAAATAGAAATAAAGTCACAGATGTAGAAAACAAACTTATGATTACCAAGGGGGAAAAGTGGGGGAAGGATAAATTGAAAGATTGGCATTGACATATACACACTACTATGTATAAAATGGATAACTAATAAGAACCTACTGTATAGCACAGGGAACTCTATTCAATACTCTGTAATGATCTATATGGGAAAAGAAGCTAAAAAAGAGTGAATATATGTATATGTATAACTGATTCACTTTTCTATACAGCAGAAACTAACACAACATTGTAAATCAACTATACTCCAGTAAAAATTAATTTTAAAAAAGATGCAACTTCAAAAATAAGAAAAAGGGACTTCCCTGGCAGTCCAATGGTTAAGACTTTGCCTTCCAATGTAAGGGATGTGGGTTCAATCCCTGGTCAGGGAGCTGAGATTCCCACATGCCTCAAGGCCAAAAAACCAAAACATAAAGCAGAAGCAATATTGTAACAAAGTCAATAAAGACTTTAAAAATGGTCCACATAAAAAAATAATAAAATAAAAAATAATAAGAAAAAGAAAGTTGTAGTAAACTAAAAAAAAATAAAAAAAATAAATAAAACATCTTATGTATAAGGTGACCCAGATTTTTGGAAGGGAATTTAATGTGTTTGTGTTTTATTTTCTTTCTAGCTTGGCCTGCTTCTGTCATTGTATACACTATATCCGATACCTTTTGGAAACCTTATTTGTTCACAAGGTTTCTGCAGGACATACACCTTTGAAAAATTTGATAAAGGTGGGAACGGATATGTTTTGTAATTTTAATTGTTATTGAAAAATTTTATGTATTGGATCATCTACATCATCATTAAATCATGTTTATTTCTCTCAAGCTTAGATTTTTCTATTCAGCTTTATCAGCATATCTTAAACATTCCGCTCCTGAAATGCCATTTCCTGAGCGATCTAGTTCATTGGAGCTGCCCTCAACCAATAACATCACATAAAATATTTGGCATGACCTTACGTTACAAGTTACATACTTTTAGGCACCTTTAATTTTGGAAATACTTAGCACTGAATTCAGATTAAGTGCCACTTGAAGAGGAAGAATCTCATATATAAACCCTCTTATAAATATACATTTATGTGATTAAAATGATGATGCTACACCCTATATTTGTGATTGGTGTCAGTGTAATGACAATATCTTTGCTCTTCCCCAAAATGGTAAATACAAATGTTATTAACCATCAATTAACTATCAAGAAAACGGGAAATGTTCTGGAACATTGAAATGGAAATGTACATTAGATAACATGGTGCAATTCAGTTTTCCAATTCAAATTAAAATTTATTTTAATTTCTTTTCCAATTTAAAATTTAGTTTCAGAATGAATTATTTCTTTACTAAAATATTCCTGAGTTTTAGCAAATATCTGTTTTCTTAGAATTTCAACAAGCAAACATTCTATTGTTGTCATTATAATGAAACAGTAAACTCTAGAACTTTTACAAACCTCAAAAAATCATTTAGACTAGCTTCTCTTTTGAGAGAAGGTATTAAAATTCGTCATGTAAGATCAGCATCATAGCCTAGTACACCTAAAACGAGGCCATTTCCCTCTATAATCAATCAAGAAACATTACTACTAATGATTAAATAATTCATTCTTTTATTCATTTACTGTTGGAAAATATCTATTTATTATTTTTATTACTTCACTCCTATATACTACTTGATAGACAAAAGCTATTCTTGAAAAATCTTCATAAAATACATTGTTACATTTCTCTATATCCTAAATCCTCATTTATATTAACAAGTGTTGAGCAAAGAAATGCATTTTCTTAGTGATATCAAATAGGTACTTTTAAAATGCTACTTTACTGAATGAAGAAGCATTCCATTTAACTAGCTTAGAAAATTTATAACATTTTTTATACCATAATGCTGCAGTGTGGCATATAAATGTATGGGGTGACTTCAAATGATGTGATATATATTATATATATATATATATATATATATATATATTCCCTAACTTTTATTTTGTTTTATTTGTAGAGTTGTGCCTTTTATTGGGGATTCACTTCTTGGATTGCCTACTACATTAATCACCCATGGTATACACCACCATGTATGTAGAATTTATTCTTCTATACTCATACTAAATTGCCAACATCAAAACTCTGCCCTAAACTATATAGAGATGATGAACGACATGGCACATATAAAGGAATAAGAAAATAATGTCAATTTTAAATTGCTTTCATAACACTCCATTAAATTTTTATGTAGGCTTAAAAGACCAAATTTGACTGACATATTTTGATTTATTTTCTTTCCATAGAAACTCTAGCAAAAAATGTAAGTTGACTATAAACATTCAAAATGACAGATAGTAAAATGAAAGAGTAGAGATGAAAAAGAAACATGCCATATAGTTACATAATCATGTACAACCATCAGGATTTTTAAAATAAATAATTAAATTATTCTTTTAAATATAACTTCAAAAGAAAAAACATAGAGGCTTTTTTTCCTGTGACATATTGTTCCCTATTTATAACTTTATTAAATGTCTTGTCCCTTGACTCAGATGAAGCAATTTAGTGAACTGCACACTGGAACCAAATCTAAATCCTCAGTTCCTAATCTTGGGGGAAACATACCTGTCCTGATCAAAGAATTACATTTCTTTTATCTTCTTTGGACCTTTCTCTTCTCAGCTTTTACTGCAGCTCACAAGGCACACACAGCAGAGCCCTACTGTTATGTGTTGACATTTCATATTTAACTGAGAGTTTTTTCCTCTCACTGTTGTGGCCTCTCCTGTTGCGGAGCACAGGCTCCGGACGCGCAGGCCCAGCAGCCATGACCCACGGGCCTAGCTGCTCCGCAGCATGTGGGATCTTCCCAGACCGGGGCACGAACCTGTGTCCCCTGCATTGGCAGGCGGACTCTCAACCACTGCGCCACCAGGGAAGCCCCTGAGAGTTATTTTTTGTGGTCTATTTCTAGTTTATAAAGTTTGAAAATAAATGGATATAAATGATGTATTCAAGCTTTATTTTAGAGTTTATAAAATAACATAAATCTTAAAGACATTAAAATAAATTAATATCTTTTCTTGAAGCACTGACACAGAGAATTACATTATTCAGGGTTTTTGCCAAAATCAGCAAATCTAGTTCAGCAATCACAGTAAATGATTGCAATGTTCAGAACTTTAACTCTTCTAAATACTAACAAATTAACTATGAATATTGAAGGAGAAAATTCTCTGATCTCACAAAACTCTAACTGATTTTTAAAAATATTCTAACAGAAGATGTACCTTCTAAGTTTAGAACATGAACAGAAAAAAATTTTTAAAAGATATTTTTTATCCATAGTATGTTTAAAAAGAGGAGCCTCTGAAAAATGCTACATTCGTATATCTTATACAAAATAATAGAGGTTAACTGTGTTAATATATGCAAAATATTTATGGAATACTTATTTTTTGTCAAGAACTGTAAAATTGCTATTTCTTTTTTAATTAGAAACAATATTATTATGTAGGTGTTAATATCCCCCACTATATATTAGGAAAATAAGGCTCTGAAAGTTTAATTTTACTGTGCTTAAGACTCTTAAATGAATATGATGTAAGTAGGACTCAAATAATGTGAAAATATATAGAGCATTACAATACCTATTCCAAGTGGAGAGTGAATATCATGTAGAGGCACTGCATGCTTTGCATGGCTCTGATATGCATGGATTTCAGTTTTTATGGTTTATTTAAATAATACCAGCCCCTAAAACCATGCTTCAAATTCAGTTACCACATACGCTAATTACAATTTCACAAAGTACAAACCTTGCAGCTCTTTAGTCCACATATCACTCTATAAATAATGAATGTACATCATGGTCAGTGACATCTGATGGTGGTTGATAACTGCACATCTCTTATTCAGTTCACTCACAACCAGCAAATAACTGGAACAATTGTGGAGTCTGGGAAGTCCAAGATCAAGGTGCTGGCAGATTGGGTTCCCTGGTGGGGACTCTCTTCCTGACTTGCAGATTGCTCCCTTCTCACTGTGTGCTCATGTGGTGGAGAGAGAGAAAGCAAGCTCTCTGGCATCTCTTCTATTAAGGACACTAATTCCCATCAAAAGGGCCCTAACCTCATGACATCATCTAAACTTAATTACTTCCCAAAAGCTCCATCTCTAAACACCATTATATTGAAGGTTGTGGTTTCAACATCTAAATGTTGAGAGGCACCATTCAGTCTATAGCAATAGTGATGGGGGGCCTAGGATAATTAGCCCACATTGCAGGCAAATAATGGGATCTAAGTTGTCATGTGATTATGACATTTGTTAGGTTTTATTTTCTCCTTAGAATTTCACTTTTCTGCATAAATGCTACAAAAAGTTCGATCCTTGCATTCATTATCTCTGCCTAAGATTTTTAAAGATTGTTCTTCCCCTTTTATAACTCTTTGATTAGAATTTATAGATTAATATTTTTGGTTATATATTAGATTGTAAAAATCCAATGCTGTTCCTTCAAAGTAGAACTAGTACAAACTACACTATCTTTATTTTTTAAATTAATTTTATTGAAGTATAGTTGATTTACAATGTTGTGTTAGTTTCTGCTGTGCAGCAAAGTGAATCAGTTATACATATACCTGTATCCACACTTTTTTAGACTCTGTTCCCTTATACGTCATTACAGAGTATTGACTAGAATTCTCTGTGCTATACAGTATGTTCTTATTAGTTATGTATTTTATATATAGTAATGTATATATGTCAATCCCAATTTCCCAAATTATCCCTCCCCCCATTCCCCCTAGGTAACCATAAGTATGTTTTCTACATCTGTAACTCTATTTCTGTTTTGTAAATAGGCTTATATGTGGAATCCAAAACAAAAAAATGGTACACACTACATTATCTTTAGATGAGATGAACTAAACCTGAAAACATAGATAAGTACAAAAAATTTTTAAACAAAAAATTTAAAACTAGATACTTAAAAACCCATTCCTAAATAACTACTGAATCTAAAAGTAAAAATACATTACAGAAAAGACAATGACAAAGTGACAAAAGAGTAAACAGTACATATCAAAGCTTTTTTAGCCAAGTAGTTATAATCTTATTAAATAATCATATTTAAGGAAAATGAAACAAACATACTAATTAAACAAGTTAAAAATTCCTTTATATTAAAACACTGTACTCAGACTATATGCTGTATTAAGTTCAGGTACTTAAGAGTTGTAGAATAGTTGAGCCAATTTTTAAATTATTTCCCTTGAAAATTTTCTTTAAAACCTGAATGCTTACAATGTAATCTTCCTTCATTTCATCCTCACAATTAGAAGAAAGAAACAGTTGTTGTATTTTTTATGTGTGTTTAATTTTTTCATCATATTTTTCTGTGCTTTCACTTTGTATATGTTCTTTTGACTTACATACTCAAGTGTTTAATTCAGGATATTTTGTCCTTACTACAGATATGATAATTAATTTTCCGTTATTTTTATGTTGTCATAATTTACATTGTGCTTTGCCCTTTACATCAACTGTGTTTTTTTTTTCACCTCTTTCTGCATTCTCTGCACTAACAGTTTCACATTTTTTATAGCCCTATTCTCAACAGGTCTGACTGCACAAAATAAACAGCATTTGCACATTTACACACACAAAGTACTTAAATGAAAAACAACATATTGGTATGTATTTCCAACACATATACCATTAGGGAGGTCACTTTACATACTTGAACAATATTTAAAATAAATAAGAAAAAATATATTATCATAATTGGACTGCCCAGTGGCAGGAATATTCCATTAACCATAAACTGGAATGCATATGTCCAGGAAGTTTAATACAAAAATATTTAGTATCAAAAACAGTCAAGGAAAAATGACCTATATTTTTGCCTATCTAAATGTGAAATATTATACAAATTATAAAAACATTATAGAAAGTTTTAATGGTGTCTAACATTTTTTCTAGAAAGTTTATTTCAAATTATATTATCTGTAACTTTTTTTGGAAATAAATATAAAAATACTTTAAAATTACACTCTTTGGCCCAGTACCTTTTTACCACATCATTATTTTTTCTCACGAAAAAATGGAAACAAGGCATATCTTCACAGTCTCGATGCAGGAAATGTTCTGAACCCTCTCATCCCTGTGTTAATATCTATTCATTGTTTTAGATAAAAGTTCAGTCATGTACTCAAAGTTCTCCCTGATCTCCCTGATTACAACAAACCCTTCTTTTTAGTTCTTATATTAAATATTGCATAGATCCTTCTCAGTAACACATTAAAGTTGCATGCTTCCGTTTGTTAGTGTGTGATGAGTATTTGTTTCCTTGTCAGAAAATATTTCTATTAAGATAAGGGTTGCATTTGTGTTTATTTATAATTAATTTATCCACAATCACACAGCCTGCCATATAAATTTCTAAAAACTAGTGTTGAATTAGTGAAGTTTAGTCTAGTAGTAGATACAAATTTTTAAAAATTATGCTCTATAGGGATGAATACCAACTAATTATTATGATTTAGCTAGAGAAAAATGTTTAATTATATGGCAAAATGTGTATAACATAATATTAAGGGACTAAGTGATTATAAAATAATTCTATCAAATATGGTAAAAGTATATAACAAATATGTATATTTCCAAAGGGAAAAATCTGAATATTAACTGGTTTTCCATGGATGAATTTTATTTTCCCTTTACACTTTTATCTCTTTCAAAAATGTCTCCATTGGGCTTCCCTGGTGGCGCAGTGGTTGAGAGTCCGCCTGCCGATGCAGGGGACACGGGTTTGTGCCCTGGTCCAGGAAGATTCCCACATGCCGTGGAGCGGCTGGGCCCGTGAGCCATGGCCGCTGAGCCTGCGCGTCCGGAGCCTGTGCTCCGCAACGGGAGAGGCCACAACAGTGAGAGGCCCGTGTACCGCAACAACAAAAAAAAGTCTCCATTAATATATTTTATTTTATAATAATATATATGTACTTTATAAAAAAAAAACTTCCAATACATGTACATGTTTTACATATATCCATGCATAAATACTTATATAAAATTTAACTATATTACCTTCTTAAGTTTCTAGCCCATGGAAATAGAACTTAAATAAACGATTTATATGGAAAGATGTTTGAAACAATACGGTCTATTATTTATAAAATTAAAGTAATTCTAATTATGCAGCAATTGGATAATATTTAATGTTTTAAGACTAGCCACATTATACATTGTGATGTAGTTTCTATCATACCTTTGACCACGAATATTTAATAATATCGTAAAAGCCTTTAAATATATTCTTACGTTAAAAACCCGATTCAAAATGAGTAATTACATTAATTTTTATTTATAGATGTGTTTATATAAATAAATGCAATTTACATCAAGCTAGAAGAAATGCAACTGTTAATACAGATAATGAGCTTATTAGATAATTTTATTTTTCATTATTTTTGTATATTCCAAATTCTCCTCTATAAACAAGGTGAATTTAGAACTCTTTCAAATTCCATTTTGTTCATTACTCTTTATATGATTTGGCAAGTTATATAAAGTATAATTTTTTACTGTAAGGTGAGAATAATATTTGCTTCATGTGTTTATTTTTATGGTGAAAATATATAAAACACTTAAAATATTGCCTGTGGCAAAACATCAATGCAAAAATAAAAATTACTATTAACATTTTTCTTTTTATTGTTGAACATTAAAAAAGAAGAAATATTATTGAGTGCAATTACACAGCAGGTCATACTAATATGCTTTTAAAATGATGAACAAGGTAAATTAAATCTGCTTTCAAATAGTTTAATAATAAAAATTATAAATAGACTCCATTTATATTCTAAATATCATTAGGTCACTGGAAGAAAATTATACATAGAAAGCAAAATATTGTCATCTCTTTAGATTGCAAAAGTATCATTCCAAAAGGTCAGATAGTACATATCACATATCACATAGTACTGTTTATTAGAGGCTAGTGATATCCAATAAACCTTTCCTGAATTATATCTATAGTTTGCCAATCCAAAAAATGAGTGCTTACATAACATCTTCTTCTGCTTTCTAGCATTTGGAAACAGGCAAGTCACAGTATCTGCTATCAATTTTCTGGTATGTATTATTTATATAATTTGCTATTCATGCTCTAGTTGTGACATTATTAAGCATTCAAATAGATTGCATTTAAGGATTTGTCATGTAGAAAATATGACTTATTTTTATATTATATGCATAATGGCATTAAATTAAATAAATCAAATAACTTCCCATAATCAAGTCATTAGCTCTCTAAATCTTTTCATCAAAATGTTCTACTCATCTATAAAGGATGATTAGAATTATTTGAAATATAGTAAAATTTGGGGGAAAATTAAACTCAGTAATTCTTCCAATTGTCTGCACATTTACCAACTTACAAACTGCTAAGAGCAGAAAGTTTTACAAGTCTATCTGATGATTATGCAGAAAACTTTGGCATAATTATTAAGTAATTCTGAATGGAAACAAAGTCTACTTTTGTGAATGAAATGGGGCTCTATACTAATTGTCCTCAGTCCAGTTCTTTAGATCATTCTATTTAACTTCACATATGCATTGTCTGAATCTGATACAAATCAATCTGACTATAAAATATTCTTTATTATTTCTGAAATGCATTATTTTATTAGATATATATTTAGCTCCACATGCCATATAACTCCATGTTTTCATTCCTTAGTCGTGTTTTCCCTCATTCTTGCCCTTGATAGATTAACTCTCATTATTCCTGTCCCTGATACATTGATAAACACCCATGATTCACGTACATGACAAGACCCTTTGTGAAGTTTGTATTGAACAACTTATAGCTCACCATTTCATACAAGGAACAAATTATACACTACACTTTGTAAAAAGCTCTCATATGAACCTCTATGTGTATGTGTGTGTAAATACACATAGATATATATATATATGTATATAGAATTAATAATTTAGTTAATAACATCCACTACTGCGTTGGCTGTGAGAGGGGCAGGTTATGCTTTTATCTTTTTAGCACCTAGTATTGTACAAGTGTACTCACCACTTGCTTGAATAAATTACAAATTATTTTATTTAGAATTTTAAAGCTAATAGTTTGTAAATATATCACTGCCTTTTACTTTTCCATGTGTGCATATTGTTTGCAATCTTGCAACTCATTTATTTTGATGCCTTCATTGTTAACCTATGTTGAACCAAGTCTAATGTTCCCTGTGTATTAACTACTCAGTAAATGTGAACAAATGGAAGAATAAATTGATGAGTGAACAAAATAATAACCACACACTTGCTATTTATTCAGATATGTATTTAGATTAATATCTGATTGTTTTATTTTTCCTCCTTAAGATATCTCTTACTTTTTTTTGCAACTCATTTACTGTCATTTATTTCATTGTAAATATTTACACAGCTCCCATTTTATATAATATTCTTGATTTCTTCCCTTTTCTCAAATGTGATATGGTTATAAATCCATGGCTCTGGTGTGAAAGAAAAATTTTAACTTTTTAAAACACTATATGTCATAATAGTTATAATATTTTTCTTAAAAAGTGAAAAGAGACATAATTGGAAATAATCAAAATTCTAATAGTTTGCTATGTACATTTTCCCCTAAAGATTTTTTAAAAATCTACCCTTTTTATTAACATACTAGTTCTTCCTACTCATACATGACTTTATTAGTCAGTGCTATTTTATACATTATCCACTGGAAAACATTTATTAAATAATAACAAGAATTAGGCAAATAGGAAAACTTTATCACAGTTGCTGTCTTATAGGAGCCAAGGCGCCAAACTACACAAATACCAATTAATAGTAGCATAGACTATGTCCAATACAGATGTACTAGGTAAATGTAAGAACTTTAATTCCACATTTCAAAGCAACATAAATTCCACTGTGACTCTGTTAAAATTGTAAATTGTGATGACAAATTTAAAAGGCCTTCTAGCATAACCCTCCCAGACTTCAGACAAGACTACAAAGCTACAGTAATCAAAACAGCATGGTACTGGCACAAAAACAGACATATAGGTCAATGGAACAGAACAGAGAACCCAGAAATAAGCTCCCACACCTACAGTCAATTAATGTTCGACAAAGGAGGCAAGAATGTATAATAGAGAAAAGTAAGTCTCTTTGGCAACTGGTGTTGAGAAAGCTGGACAGCGTCATGTAAATCATTGTAGTTAGAACACTCCCTCACACCACACACAAAAATAAACTCAAAATGGCTTTAATATTTAAATATAAAACATGACACCATAAAACTCCTAGAAGAGAACATAGGCAAAAGATTCTCTGACATAATTCGTAGCAAAGTTTTCTTAGGTCAGTCTCCAAAAGCAGTAGAAATAAAAGCAAGAATGAACAAATAGGACCTAATCAAACTTACAGCCTTTGCATAGCGAAGGAAACTATAAACAAATGAAAAGACAACCTATGTACTGGGAGAAAATATTTGAAAACAATGCAACAGACAAGGGCTTAATTTCCAAGATATACAAACAGCTCATACAACTCAATAACAACAACAACAACAAAAACAAAAAACAAACCAATCAAAAAATGGGCAGAAGACCTAAATAGACATTTCTCCAAAGAAGACATACGGATGGCCAAAAAGCACATGAAAAGATGCTCAACATTGCTAATTATTAAAGAAACACAAATGAAAACTACAATTATGTATCACCTCACACCATTTAGAATGACAATCATTCAAAAGTCTACAAATAACAAAAGTTGGAGAGGGTGTGGAGAAAAGGGAACCCTCCTACACTGTTGGTAGGAATGTAAATTAGTGCAGCCACTAGGGAAAACAGTATGGAGGCTCCTTAAAAACCTAGAAATAGAGGTACCATATGATCCAACAATGCCACTTCTGGGCATGTATCTGGAGAAAATTCTAATTCGAAAATATACATGCACCCAATGTTCACAGTGGCACTATTTACAATAGCTAAGACATGGAAGCAACCTAAGTGTCTATTGACAGATGAATGGATAACAAAGATGTGGTATATATAATGGAATATCACTCAGTCATTAAAAATAAAATAGTGCCATTTGCAGCAACATGGATGGACCTAGAGATTATCATACTAAGTGAAGTAAGTTAAACAGAGAAAGACAAATATCATATGACATCACTTTTATGTGAAATCTAAAATATGATACAAAACGGAAACAGACTCACAGACATAGAAAACAAACTTATGGTTAAAAAAGGGGAGAGTGGGGTGGGGGAAGGGATAAATTAGGAGCTTGGGATTGGCAGATGCAAGCTACTGTGTACAAAATAGATAAACTATAAGGCCCTAATGTATAGCATGGGGAAATATATTCAATATCTTGTAATAAACTATAATGGAAAAGAATAAAAATAAGTAAATAAAATAAAAAATAGGCAAGACACATTGAACTTTTACTAATAAAATATGATAGTAAGATATAAATTTTAGGAAATTGATTCTAATACAGAATATAACAACTATTGAGTTTATTGAGCTTGTATATAATCACCTAAATTGAAGATTCCTACCATATTATTATGAGCATAACACCCTATAGTTCAAGGTTAAATTTTTCATTCATAATAACTGAAAACATATGTGTGAGTTTCAGGTTTTATCACAAATACATATGTGCAAACAGTTTAGAAAAAATAAGCAAACTGTTTTTAAGTCTAATCTATTTTAAATTATTTTATATTAAAATTACCAGTATATAGAAGAATCAATTATATACAAGAAACAAAGGGGAAATTCGTGGGTCATTCTTGTATAATATAAAATTCAACCAGAAAATGTGTATCCTATTTGCAAGTGCTAATGTTTTTGCTAATAAAATGTTATGCTTGCAAAACTTCATGTTCTTCATTTATTGATCTATACACACTTTCAACACAGAAGAAGAAAAGTATTATTCATTAAAGTTGGTTTAGCTTCTGTAGTTATGTAGAGCCAGATTACCACTTGGTAAGAAGATAATATGTTAGAACTATGTTGAATATGATTACAGTTAATTCTTAATGGATGAATCATCCCTTTTGCAGACTAACCATTAACAATTATAACTTTTTTTCTACTCCCTCCATTTTCTTTCTACTAATATTCTGAGTTCCCTAATACACTAAACAAAATATGTCAAGCAAAACAAGACACTTCACAATGTGTACATAATATATTCCAAAATTAGGTAATGATTCTTTGTGGAAAATCTGATTTTTCTGAGTTTTGACATGTTTGAACTATGTTCTAAGAAGTATTTTATCACCCCTCCTTTTGTATAAATTCTTTTTGACTCTCAACACAATTTACTTCCCTTGAATATATTCTGGTATCACAAAATCTACAAGGAAAAAATCAAATATGGAAAATCAAATATATGCAACTCTATAAGCACTTTAGAATATCTCTCTACAAAACTTTTATATGTAATTTTTATTTTTCTGCTGCAAATATTGTTGAGACACACTATAATCCAGGCTCTTCATATTTCTATGATCCCCCTAATTATCCTCTGAACCCAACTTCACCCACAAAACACCAAAATTACCATTGCAAAACAATATATATTTTACATAAATAATAATCCTGTTTCCTTTATCCACTCTTTCTTTCAACTTTATTTTTGCTCTCCAGAAGCAACTGATTGTCAATTCTTTGTACATTGAGATTACATCAGAAAAGAAAATTTTTTCTTGCTTTTCTTACTCTCTTAAAAAATGTACAAAATGGGAGGAATAGATAATAATGAATAAGACATGGCTTGAAAAGTGGTGACATTAATTTTTCTCCGTGGTTTTACCTCTGTGTCCTCATTCTCACAATTAGTTATTCACTCATTTAGGTTGAGTTTGTTTTCTCATTATTAAAATGCAAATACTCTTGGAGAAATAATAAATTAGGCTCTTATCAAGAAGTCACACCTGTTCTTGTAGCATTTAGCTGAAAAGGACATTGTACATAGCACAATGATTTTTGATTAGGGGAGAGGATTCTGGAATGATATATCATAGCTTTTAATAAGGGTGGAGGAGAGTGGGGCCCTGCTGTGGAAACCACAGAAAGGCT